CAGTTTTTTTTCCAGTTTTGTACTTTCTGTTGGTGATTTTGATATTAAAATGGCTCTCGATTATAGTGCTGACTGCTCTCTAGCGCTCCTCAGCCCAAGAAGGCTGTGATAATGCCTCACAGAGAAAATGCATGTGTTAGATAAACTTCTTTCAGGCATGCATTACAGCACTGTTGGCTGTGAAGTTAACGTTAATGAATCAAGAATTTCTAATAAGTAAGGTGTCTTTAAACAAAAACACACATAAAACAAGGCTATATACTGATCAGTTGATGAAAATGCGGCGACTACTAGCCCATAGGAGCCTAACTCTGTATTTCTCTGTAGGGAAAATGGATCTTTGTGACCAGGATTCCTGCCTGGTCTTCACAGGTATCCTGTTTGCACATCTATGGGATGTCATAGTTGCCAGTCCAGGGTAGGGGTGGAGAGGAAACACCCATTCGCTCTCCTTACCTGTTTCTGGTATGTAATTGGTCGGGCATCCCGCCAGTCACCAGGGACCCTCCCACAGAGTTCCTCCTAGGGTGGGAGGGGGTGCTAGGAGTGCAGCTGGAGAGAGGGCTCTCAGGTTCCAAGTCATGCTGGCAGAGAGCGCAGGGCATCTGGGGTTCAGAGCCATGAGAATAGGGAGGGAGCCGAGAGAGCCACTGGTGCAAGCCAGGAAAGACTGAAGTGTGAGAATAAATCCCTTTAATTCCTAACTTCTTGCTCTTGCCTTTTCTTCAGTCTGACTGAATTCATAGAGCACCAGCCCTGGGTCGGGGACCCCCTCCCCTTGGAGCTACATCCTCCTAGAAGCAATGATTCAGTATTTGCTAATTGAGTATTTGCAGTGACTTTATAGAACTACCAAGAAAAATGAGAAGTTATTACATATAATGAAATTTTATATGCATTATAAAATATATATAAATGAAACAGAATAGCCACTCACAACATCAACAAAAGAAGTAATGCCTGACATTTACTGAAGAGTTCCTGTAGCAAACTCTAAGTATTTTACATATTATCTCATTTTGTTGCCTCCTTTTGGCTCTATTATTTCTCCCATTGTACAGCTCAGAAAACTGAGGCCTAGAATCTTGTGTAAATCGCATAGCTCTGAGTGATGGATACCAGAGCAATCTGATTCCAGGGTCATCCTCCATTAACCAACAGTTCTACCTGTTAAACTTGATTTATTGATTTACTCAACCAAGTAATCTGTAAGTGTTGGGCACTGTGGTAGGAGCTGGAGATACATCTGTGAAATGATGATCCTGGCCCTCGTGGAACCTACACTAGTGAGAATACTGGCAAGTAAATAGCCATATTAAGTAATGGAATTGTAAGGGGAAATTTGTCATGAAAGCTCATAGCAGGGGCACCTAAGCTAAGCTAAGGGTGTCAGGAAATGTATCCTGGAGGAAGTAATACCTAGCCAATCCTTCAGGCTCTGTGGGAGCTTGCCAGTTAAAGAGATGAGGGAGTGGAGTTTCAGGAACAAGAAATTATGTGAAGGTGTAGCAGTTAACCCCAAAGTCTAGTTCAAGGATATAAATCCCTTTTCCTTCTCTCCTTCTCTGTGTGTTTAGGTAGCAAATATTAAAAGATGAGCTTGGTTAGTTACAGAATAGATTTGTAAGTCTGTTGGGGATTTTGAACTTAATGCTATGAGCAACAGGAGGTACTGGTAGATCTTAAGCAGGGAAGAATCATTATTTAATATATGTATGGTATTTTACTTTGCTTTCTCTTGGCTCCTGTAATGTTTTTCATAAAAATGAAGTTCTAACCTAAATGGATTACACAGTATTAAGCATAAACAGTATCATGGATTATAAACCTGAAAATAACTTTCTAGATCAACTGGCAACTTCCATTCCTTTGTAAAACACACTGACTGATATGTAAGGCACATGAGTTAGCAGGATACACCTTCCTGAATGTCTGTTTTTGTTCCCTACCCCCCAACCCCCAGTTGTTTGGTGTGTGTGTGAAAAATCAGTTTTATGTGTTCACAAACTTTTTTTTTTGCCAGTTTTGTGTGTTATAAGGAATGGATGAAATATAAATTTGAATGAAGCATATTTTTCTATGAAAACTAAGTTTAATACTAAATTGGTAAGAAAATTGTAAAACCTGGGAAAAATTGAAAACAGAAATATTTGGCACTCAAAGTGCTTGTCAATAACTCTTTAAGAACACCTTTCACTTAAACTAAAACTGCTAATCATGGGGGTGTGTTATAATTGTGGTTTATGACATCAAACTCTAGGATTGTGGTTAGATACTAAAAAACATTCTTGGCTCTACATCAAAAGACTGGTAAATGTACATATTCTTATTTTAAGATAATCACTTTAAAATATATTTAAGATTTTTTTTTTGTCTCTTGACCAACTTTTTGATTCACCAACTACCAGCCTGATTACATCAGATAATGCTTTTCTATATCACACAGAAATTAGGCATATGCTATATGAGCAATGGAGAATCCAAAAACCATCTTGATCCACAACACTTATTTCTTTAAGCAGTCCATAATATTGAAGGATTTGATGCCCACCTCTTTCCTGGGGACTGTGATACCAGCATTTTTGCCTCTGGCAGGTCAACTGCTAATATATTAAAGATAGCTTGGCCACCATAAAGCAGGATGATGGGAATCCTGGTAGCATCCCTTTCCTTCTGGACTGCCAGTCAGGTTTTTGGAGCCATTTCTATTTTCTCCTTTCTGTCTGGGAGCAAAGGTAAGGTAGAAGAAAATGCGACAAAGACAGCTTGATGAGACTAATGAAGGCTGTCTGCATTCAGCCTCCCTACAATAGCTTCTGCTCACACAGGCAAGGAAAAGCCGTGAACAAACAGTGGTGTTCAGGGTGAGGGGCCTCACTCTGGCATTTATTTTCCAAAATTGTGTAGCGCACACAGTTTATTTGTCTAAAAGTCATTGTAAAACAATACAAGCCCATGGTAAAGGGTTTTGAACAGTGCAGAAAGGTAAAGCCACATATTATTAGTGTAGCCTTAGGCAAGAAAAATAATATGTATGTAGCCTGTCTGATTTTCAGTGCTTCTGTTTATTAGACAGAATAATAAGAGCTAAGTTATAGGATTGCTCTGAGAATACAATGATAATGTATGTACAATGTATTATTATTTAACTTTATAGTTTACTATTTTCATACCCTTGATCAAATAATAATTTCCCACTACTCTCTGAGAAGTTTGTTCTTTTCTAGCACATTGGAAACTTCGGGAGGAACACACACACGAGAATGGTGAGATGGAAAGGGACTGTCCAATCAACCAAATTAGCTGAATCCACTATAATGGTGATGTCACAGTGAGATCACATTTACATTACACTGTGAGATGTCCCACAGGCACACCAAATGCAAAGAGATTCCAGCTGAACTAGCTGTGACCTGTCACCTGTTCTGCAGTCTGCATTATCAGTTTATATTGATAATGTCATAAGTAGCCACCACCAAGATCTCAATCTGGCAATTTGGGTTTCGCACTAGACATATCATCTTTCTCACTTCCCCAGCTAAACAACCAAGCATCTCTGTTGATTCTTGCTCTATATCCTGAATCACCCACTCCTTCCCTCTCCTCTCCAGTCTCACAAGCTTTTGGCATCTGCTTTTGGGCTTTTGCCAACACCTGTAAACTGGCCTTATCTCCTCCACTCTATCCCTCTAAATCCATCTTCCCTATTGATAGCAAAGTAATCCTTCTAAATACGGACTGGTAGTAAGTCCCTCACTTGATTAATTTCTTACACTACTTCATAACCATTTGCAGTGTAAATTTTATTTTCCTTATATAACATCCAAAATTATTACAGGAATTAACATATATAAAGTACTTGAACAAGTGCCTGGACATGGTAAGTACCATGGAAGTGTTTGCTATTATTTTTTAAATGACCTGCATTCCACTCTCCTTTTGAATCTAAAGATCGAAAGCACTGCCACTCTGTCACTCTCATGGGTCACAGTTTTCCAAGCATACCCAAGGAATGCACCTCTGGGCTACGCACACACTTTTTAGAGGACCTGGTTGCACCTCTGGGCTACACACACACACACACACACACACACACACACACACACACACACACACACACAGCTCTACTTTTTAGAGGACCTGGTTGCACCTCTGGGCTACACAGCTACACAGCTACACACACACACACACACACACACACACACACACGAACCCCTCTGTGTGTGGAACTTTTATTCTTGTTTAAACAAACCCCTCTTCTCCCAGCGTTTCATAGCCCCTGTCCGTATACCACATAGTTTATTTCTTCTAACTCTGCAACCTCTGCACGTTGTAGTGTTTTTCTACCGGCAACCACTACGAGATTATAATTTGTTTATACGTTCCTCTGCCCTAACAGGTAGTGAGTTCTTAGAATGCAGGGTTTTTATCTTGCTTATTCCAAGCACCTGACTAAATGCTGGCACATCGGAAGCACCTAGTTCGCATTTAGTAAAATATTATTTGAATAAATGAAAAGTGTAGGTTACAATTAAACAAAATGCAATTAAGAATACTTTCTAATGTCCCAATTCCCACTTGACTGGTTTTGTCAAGAGGAAGTTTAGTCAAATGCTGGAGAGATCAAGCTAATCAATGATGGCAGTGATGCAGCAAAACTTGTTAGGTTAAGAGATCCTGGCTTTTTGATCTGTTGGTGCTGCGTTTTAAGTGTTGTAGGAGGGTAATCAATATACACCCTCTCCTCCACTTCGGGGTCGGGTGGGGGGAATTTCCACTTTCTGAAAATTTCCCAGTGTCTCGGTATCGGCCGGAGGATCTGAAGACCCATCAGCCCCAAAAGGCTTCTTTTTCGTTTACCCTGGGAGGCCCCCCCTCCTCAAGAGCTCCGGCCGCGCGCGGAGCCCGTGCCCCGCGAACAGCCGGGCCTGGGGCGCCCGCCCCGCCCCGCCCTGCGCGTCACGTGTGCTGCCGCCCGGCCGCCTCCTCCCGCAGCCGGAGCGCGAGGCAGACGGCGCCGGGCGCAGCAAGCGGCGAGCGGGCGGTTGCTGCCGGAGCCCGCAGCCCTACGACGGCCGCCGCCCGGAGCCCCGCAATATGCCGCCGCGGCCCTGCGGCTCTCGGCCATGGCGAGGCTCGGTCGGCGCGTCCCCTGCACCCTGCTTCTCGGCCTGGCGGCTGTGCTGCTGAAGGCGCGGCTCGTGCCCGCGGCCGCCGGAGCCGAGCTCAGCCGCTCCGACCTCAGCCTCATCCAGCAGCACCAGCAACGGCAGCGGGAGGCGGCGGCGGAGGAGAAGCCGGAGGCACCGGGGGCGTCCTCCGCCGCCCCTGTCCCCGGTAGGTCGCGCGGCCGGTCTCCTCGGCGCGGCTGCTCCTCTCGCCCCTTCACTGGACCGGTCCGCACCGCCCCGATCTCCGCACACCGCCTGCCCGGGGCGCGGGTTCCGCGCCGCTTTCTGGAATCCACCTTTTGGGGGATGAGCTTCCTGGGAAGCGTGGAGCACTGCAGTGGGGTGGGGAAGGGTCGGGAGGGGCGGGGGCGAGTGACTGCCCGGACTGAGCCTGCCTTCTGCCTCGTTCTTCCTCAGGTCCTCCCGCGCCCTAGAAATGACTGCGCGCGCGTGCACACACACATCACACACACTCATACAATCACACACATGCACACTCACACACGCACTCTTCTGAAATTCTTTAGCATTCTGTTCTTTATCCTCTGCTCTCCCAGAGACTGAAAAATCATGCAGTAGACACCCACACACGCCTTTTCACCATCTCGCCTCGCCTGCTACATTTAAATTTAGACCTTGAGAAAGAAATCTTGATTTATTAATTATTTCTCTCTCTTCTTATTCCGGGAATGGTTTAAGTCGGTTTGCAAGAATGCCTTAGTATAATAAAATGAAACAAAATAAAATAGGAGTTTGTAATTGAAGGAAAGGAAAAAGGAGAAGGGGACAAATAGAGTCTGTAGTGATGGTAGTACACCAAAGCCTGCTCCCAGATAGGGGCATCTCCGTACTTGTTAGTAGGACTTAATGAGGCAGATTCTTGACATTATTCAATGCGGGTGAGGAAATACGCTCTAGTAAATGTGGCTGTAACAGTCCCTCAGTTCCTGCCTGGTTCCCCTCCATTAAAGCTCCAGCGGTAAGCAAAAAGCTGGATTATCCATTTTAATAGCCTCTCCCCACCCCCCACCCTAGTTCCGTTCCCTACTGTACATGCTGTCTGCTATTTAGAAAAGAATAAAGCCAGTTTTTTGGCGAGTAGGATTAGGTTTCTGCAAAACCAAAGTGAATTATATTATGACATTTGATTTTGTTTTAAAATCCTCCCTAGCAACATTATACAGGATGCTGAAAATGAGATTTTAAAGAGCAGAATCAGCATCTTATTTTGTGCTGCTTGCTCGTCATCAAAGAGCAATACTCAGGCATGCCAGCTGCAATTCATGACAGCCAGGATGATTTAATTTATCAGAGTGCTCTGAGCATAGGATGAAATTACCAGTGTGCCGGAAAGCATGTATTTCTGATACTCTCCTAAACCAATTAACACTCAAAGTCCTGAAAAGTATGCCATATGTGGTGATCTTCCTATACAACTGAAAGTGCTAACAACACGGTTTGGGTGAGGCTGCTATTAGAAATGCTATTTACTATATTTGAGGAAACTGGAGATAGGAAAGTGATTGAGAGCCTGTCTTCATTATGAGAGCGATTTCCTAAATTAACTATGAAACAAGTCTGACAGAGTGTTGATGGTTTGCAATATATTTTTATTTCAGTTTATCTTTTTAGGAATATTAAATTGGTTTTAACTACTTTAATATAGAAGTATTGTGATGAGGGTTATGAATAACTGCAATAATACAAAACCTTTTGTATCTAGTGTGCAAATTAAAATCCTTGTTTTTAACATTTATGAGGGAACATTTTTGAGAAAAGTTGTTTGGTAAACTAGGAGTTTGTCTTATTTACCTATTAGATTAATTGAGAAAAAGGAACCACTCACTATCCTGAACTGGATAGAGCCTGAAAAGTATCATGATTATTGCTTTTCCCTCAAAAGCTCTAACTCCCTAAACCAGTGGTAAATGAGAGCAATTCAATTGATTGCTATTTTAGTTACTGGAATATTGAATCATAATGAAACACAACCTATGAAAAAATGAAGGTAATATATTCCTCTGAGGACTTTATGTTCTTTGTATTAAACTGGTTGGTCTTCCTGCTTCAACTTTTGTTCCTCTAGTGTCTATTCTCCTCACATAGCTAGTTATCCTTTTAAAAATATTATGTAGGATCAGTTCTGCTTGCAGTCCTCCAGCCACTTCCTATCTCTCTCACCGGATGCCCAGACCCTGAAAATGGCCTACAAAGGCCTGGAGCTGCTGTATGCCCCTCCCCCTCCCAGCTCCCAGAGCCCTGACCCTACTCACTCCACTGTAGCCACACTGGCTCTGTTTCTTCAGTTTGCAAAAGGGCACTGGTGTTGGGCATTGGCACCTGCCATCTTCTCTGCCTTGAATTATGGAACGTCACATTCTTCAGGGTTGCTCAAACGTCAGAACAGAAGCTTTGCATGACCAGCTATATTAAATAGTAAAATGCATGCTGTTTGGTACCGATTCTCCTTCATGGCACTTACCAACCTCAGCCCTTCTTAAAAGCCTATCTCCCCTTACTAGAATGTATAAGCTCTAGGAGGGCACAAACTTTTTTTTGTGGTATTACATGAAATTATTATATATATTTCTAATACCTGGAAGAATACCTGGTACAGTAGTCACTCATCAGTTTGTTGAATGAATGAATCAATGGATGAATGAACAAAAGTAAACAAATGCCGGGATTAAGGATCAGTTTCACTTTCCAAGTATTTGTTAACATCTCATGTAATTTCTTTATTGGAATTTAGCAGAGGATATATGAAAATAAAGAAATGCTAGGTAGAAATATTTGTAAGTAGAGGTTATAAAGTATATAAAATTTTAAATCTTTAATTTTGGCTTATCAGTTTTTACCTTATGCTGACTATAGAGAACTGGTTGATAGCAATACTTGAGTCCACTTACTAGGTTCTGTCAGGATTTGTTACCCAAGTGCACTTATAATCATCTTATGACCTGGGAGAGTATTAACATACCTTCAAATAGCTGTGATTGAGCCTGAGTTCATTTTTTGCCTCTGTATGGTGCTTCTGAGTCTTTGGACTCAGAAAATTATGTGAAAAACTATGGGACTTTTCTCAGGCAAAATTTAGAGAAATAGTTAGACACATTTAGTGACTGGTACATGGCTTACCTTACCCTTATCAATCGGTAGTGGAGAAATTGACCATTGGTCTTAGTATTTTCTGGATTTTGTTCTGAAAATTTGTCTCTGTTGCTGATAAAAAAGAAAGTGAGGTTAAAAGAAGTTGAATATGAAATAGAAAAAATCAGGATCTTAGAAAGTAAATTTTCATTCTCATTCATTTATGATACAAAACACCACTTCGCAGAGTAGTAAGATGACTGAGGTTGAGATGTGTCAAATCAGTTGTTTTCTCCTGTGTATGCAGCAACTCTTATTTCTCCATCTGCACCAGTATTTGTTAGAAATAAATATTTGAGGGACCAGGGAAGAATTAATCTGGGGCCTGGTGATAGCTGAGACAACCATATCATATTCACTCTGAGGCCCATTAGAAGGGAAGCATGCTGGGGATGGAGGAGAGGGGCGCTAGAAGAATTAATGAGCTCCATTTCAAATTCTCCATGGGAAGTACAGGCACAGGGATCTCTGTGGATTTTTATAAATGTCTTTTGCATACAGAGAAAACTTAGGTATATTTTCATGGAATAAACATTTTGTACATTTCACTGATATGTATTTTTAAACTTCTTATTTTGGAAAATTAAATACATAGAGAGTAAACATAATAGTGGCTTTAATAATGATTAAATTCTGGTGCAATTGTTTCACTCCTACCCTCTGTCCATTTCCACTATTCGGTATTTTTTTTTTGTCTAGGGGAAGTAAAATGTACATACATTAAAATGTGCATACCTCAATTGTACTATTTTAGCAAGTAGATGTCCCCATGTAACTGTCACCCCTGTCAAGATATAATGTTTACATCACCTTGGAGAGTTCCCTCCTGCCTCCTTCTCAGGCCATCCCTGCCCCCAGAGACAACTACTCTTTTGATTGTTTTCATTATAGATTAATTTTGCATTTTCTAGAACTTCAGAAAATACAATCATATGGCCTGTAGTCTTTTGTGTCTGTATTCTTTAACTCAATCTGATTTCTATAGGTTTCATCCATATTGTTGTATGTTCAGTTGTGTTACTCGTTTTTACTGCTGAGCAGTATTCTGCTGTATGAATTATCCCAGTTTGGTGTATCACTTCTTCTGTTGATGGATATTTGGCTTATTTACAGTTTTAACTATTGTGGAGAGGTAGCTGGAATCTACCTCAGTTAATAAAATTTAATTACAAGTTAAGAAGTTTGATACAGAGTATTACTGTATACTTCTTATTAAATTCAAATAACTCGATTTAACAAATCTGGGTGAAATCTCCCATTCATGAAAACATTTATTTACTTTTTTCTGTCCAGTAAATTTGAAAATCAATAGAAGTAGGATTGGAAATTGACTGTTCTATCTAAAGTACTCATGCTTTAAAGGCCATATTCCCAGATGGGGTAATTATGATTTCTTTCCAGGATTTTAATAACCAAAGAGAGCTATTTCTTGGTGTTGATTACTGGTTGAAAAACACATGCCTGTGTGTTGAATTAGAGACCAGTTTGTTTTAGTGGTGGTTTTTAGTGTTCTTAATGTGACTGAACAGAAACTACCAAATATTTTTCTGAAACAAAACTCTTCCCCAAATATGTAAATATTGAACTTGATGCTCTTTCAGTGTTCTGTCTGACTAGTTTAGCTGCAATATTGTTGTCATTCATTCATGTGGCTTGGTGTGCTGTGTCTTAATTTCCTTTTGTCCAAATTGCCTTAGCTAGGAAATGTATACAACATTTTCCATCTGCTATTGGTGAAAAGTATACTTTGGAGTATTTACCTGGAAAATTCTAGAACTACGAAAACTATGCATTGTAGTGAAATACAGCACAAGCTTAAGAAAACCTCTTCTGTTTGCTCTGAAGATTGTTTGGAGATGTCTCTTTAATTGGCCTTTTGTGAAAGCACAATCCATATGTCCAAGACATACCAGATTCTATGCCTTTTAAATTCTTTTTCTTTTATGACTGTCTGTGTCATCAAGAATGAAGCAGTATTCGTAAATAGTGTTGATGATGTCTGTGAGTATAAAGGCC